TTTTTTTTTGAATTTGGATTGAATATAAATTGGACAAGAATCCGCAAGTAGTATTACGTTGTACTTAACACTACCAAGTCACCCAGCAGAAATGGTACAGTACCTGACCAAAGCATATTAGGGTTCACTTGAAGTCAGCTGAACAGAAGCTCTGGAGGCAAGAACACCACTAAAACACTGCCTTGACACGGAATCACGCTTTCGACTGCAATGTGCTCATGATTTGTGCTTGTGATGCTTACAGATCGAAAAAGCCTCACTGGAAGTGGATGTTTTATCATGCCGATGGTCATTTGGTCATCAGTCATCCGACGTAATCCATCGTTCTTTCAGGATATACTCGTTCACTCAAATAGCTGTAACTAGTTACACAGTGATTGATCCAATTGTACTGATGTATTTCTTATGTGATTTTCGGAGGACATTTTCGAATTTGAGAAAGAATATTGCCACACTTTTCTGCACTGGGACGGAATTACACGATCAAATCACGATAGCAATAGTACAACCATCTCCATTTGCTCTGAAAGGCTATGGGACACCAACACTAAGGGTGCTTGCCAAGGTGAGTCAGTGAGTTGATGTCAAGTTCTATCTATTGTAATGTTTATTTTAAGCCAGACAATAAGCCGACAACGTTACTGCACCGCTAGCGAGACCGATATTGTTGAAATGAGCTTGAAAACCTAGTGAAAAACCATCGATAGCTATTTGTCGACGAGAATATCTGTTTACCACATAGTTTTGCTCACTTACGTCACATTTTTTTTTGAATTACTTGGCACATGGTCTTTTTCTTGAATGATCCTAACATTGCATTCGATAATTTGTTGTTTTATTTATATTTCATATCTTTGTTAAGGATACTCCCATCTCCTCTTGACACTTTCGAAAAAGGTCTAACGGGGAGCTTCGTACTACCTAATATAGAGGTTTTGCCCGATTCCAAGTTATGCATAAAAAAGTTGTATTCGAATATTTTCAATGGCTCGCTACGAATTAGGATTGCTGATGAATTACGAAAAAAGGTAGTGAATGAATAAAACATGATGAAGCTGAGTTCTATTTTAATACATTGCAAATAAATATTTTGACTGAAAGCATTATCACAATCGAAAACCGCTACATTGCAAATATTAACAAGCTTCTCTGAGTGACACTACTACAGTATGCTAGTGCTACAGTAATCTGACAAATACAGAATATTCTTGGGTCAAAAACGCATAGAAACAGTAAATAACAATTGTGAATCCTTTCGATTTTAATCTCATGCAAAGTGTTCAGCACTCTACAAAAGTCAACCTTTGGGCTTTGAGCCTCGACAAACTTGTTCCATTTTTATCTATTTTTCAGCATCCAACTTTTTTATTTGTGCCGAGAAGAAGAAGAAGTTTGGGTAAATGTTTCAAGTTCCAGAGTTTTGACCCTTTTTCTGGATACAGATGTCAAATCTTCATAGTAAATTTATTACCACAATGTATAATACAGTCCCGAGCTTTTCTCCAAAATAATACTAGGCGGAATTTTGGATAAAGCAAGCGGAACCTGAAAAATGTGTCTATGTTCTTCTTGAGTAACATCGTAGATAAGGGGCTTGGACATGTGCTGCACGCGTTAGCCCAATTGCTTAGCTATAAAAAGTAGTTATAAGGTTGCTCACGTCGTGGCTTGAAGTTTATGGTAGTTCATAGTAGTAGTTAGCCCGGAAAATTGCTTCATGGAGCCGTCTGAGTGTGATCTCAACAAAAATGAAGAAAGAAAAAACGAAAGGGGAAGAAAAAGAAAAGCCGGTACTCATGGACCATGCGGTTTAGAAGTTGCTGGCTTCTTAAAAAAATGTATTGCTCATTGATTCAAAAACTTGATAAATGCTCATTAGAATGATGGTGCTCAAACCTGAGCGATGTTGCATGAAGCCGAATTCTTATGGTTGCTTCCTCCTCAGCGTGGTCTTCTCAATAAAATGTCCTTTCAGTGATAGCACCGAACCACAAAACGAGTCTGAAGTGTTTATAGCAATAATTTTGAACCACGACAATTATTTCGGAATAAAATCATACATTTCACGGAAGAAAACCGCGGTAGTAGTCCTTACTATGTTCTACACACGTCATAAGACAGACAGCTATGGAATTTGTATTCCAGCGAATTTGAAACCCTACAAATTTAATTCCATAATTTTTAGTTATGTCTAGGGGAATGTATCATACCCACGATCACGTCAACGCTTCAGTGATTGTTTGTATGCAACGGATGGATGCAACTTGTTTTTTGTACATGATGTGTGTAATTATTTTTGCATTTGGTGAAGAAAAAAAGCTGAGTAATCTGGCTATGTGAAGGAGGCAGGTCTTGTGACATGTCATTGTTTCAAGGTGACGGGCCATGTTCTATACTGATTGGACGTCGAGACTTGTAACAAAACTGAGCATACCAGAGAGAACTGAGGAGGAAAACTGTAATAATAGGGTATAAAGTCTTAAGATTTCATCATCTCATCCAACTTTCGTTCAGATTCGTAGTCGCGTTTTAAGCACGCGTGTGATTGGATTAGTGATTGAGATGATCAGCCAGTATTCAATACAGTACTTTTATCCTCCCAGACGAGTCTGGTACCAATGAATCGACCTCAGATTGATAGGAGGCCTGAATTGCCTGAGCGGATCCGAAATTCGAGCCCAGGGCCGTGCGCATATGATAGTGCGCCACTCACTCCTACAATACCTCCACCTGTAACAATTATACAAACGACTAATATTGGTGAATACTTTCGACATGCTCACCAATATTTGTTATTCTATTACATTCATAGAGAGGTTGAATAGTGTTAGCGCTTGATTCGTACAATGAAGAAAGGAATTGTCTTCAGCACCAGCACCATCAGTTTTACTCACCAGTTGGTCCTCTCCAACTAATGATATCAACCGATTTGGGAGAGCATGTCTATCAGTATTCATGATGAAAATTTTAGTTTTATTCATGCCAATACCATGCCCTTTTTTGCAACATCCATCATTTTCCTTTCGAAAATAGGGGGCCACGGCATGGCCTGACTTTCTAGGAACTTCTACCCCGCTTCAGACTAACGCTGCTCTCTTATCAAAAGTGTTGCCTAATAGGGCTTAAAGCCAATTATCTAGATGATCTAGAAGTCCAATAGTTCAATCTGGACAGTCCTTGTTGAAGCCATTCGAATCACCGCATATGCGCAGCAATATTGCGGTATTTTTTTCGATTCCAAGTATTATAGCCCGTACGGAGAATTAGAAATTAACAAATCTGTAGCAGTGGCTATCCGGCTTCATTGTATACGTCAGCAAAAGCTATTTTTTACGGTTCGAGTTATCACTATGTACCGTAACCTATTGTGACGTTGCCAAATCATCCGCTGCTGTAGATTGTTTGCTGCTGTAAGTCTAGCTAAGGAGACCCATCAAAGTTGTCAACAGATTGTTTTCGATGCTTTCATTCTCATGAATTTGCTTTCAGCTAACTTTCCCACAATGCCCACAGTTCTGTGCAACTTGACAACTTTTGTACTAGCATTCCTGTCTGGTCAATTCATTAAATTCCCTTTCCAGCATGTGACAGATGATCCTTTTGAGCAAACCGGCTGATTTAGATTATTTCAAAATCAGATAAATCAGATGAAAACACTTTAGTTCTCGGAAAAACCCATCCTAGGCTTACTCATAAACCTAATGGTATGAACTGTGGTATTGCATTCACGCACTTTCATTTATTACCTCTTGTTCTGGGAAATTTAATGATTGTACAATATATAAAAACTCTGAATAACCTGCTTGGAGCAGCTGCAATTCACAAGGAAGTAAATGCCGTCTACACACCCCCACATGTCATATTTTTTCCTGCTTAGAAGGCCTCCTCAACCCGAAAGCAACCAATAATCCCGATACTTTGTTTTTGTATAATTTTGCAGTAGTGGGCAACAAGTTGGTATTAGTTTGGGAATGCTTGCAATTTCTGCAAGGACGAAGTAAAAGCCTCAGTAGACGACTGAACTATGCTTCCTTCTTTTGGCTAATACCATCTATGAGGGGGTAGCCAAGCGACAGCTTAATCTGGGCTGTATTGGGCTTATTCTTACATTTTTTTCCAATTTAGGATATTAACTCGATATTTGAAACCTTATGGTTGCTTAAGAATACATTGTGGCTCTCAGATATATTATGAATTCTTTGCAAACCTTGTTTTTACCGTAAAAAAGTGGGGTATGTGTAACCGACTACAAAACTGTACCACATGAGACGTGATTGCTAAGAAAAATAATATTATTTGTTATGCTCCCAGAATTCAACATGTTTTGTGCATCCATTTGTAAAAAATTATGAGTTACTAGCTGAATCAGCTTGGGAAAATGGCTGTGCACAATGAAAATGTGTGAGAATTAGCAACGGTGATGAGCTCCGCCTTCCCCCGGAACAATCGCTTTCTTAGTTTACAAGGGAATCTTATCCTGTGCGCTGTTTGTAACACCTGCCTACAATGTCAACCAAGGAGATGAGCTCAAGGGTCCATCTCAATTTCAATCTTGTCGCGTCATACGTTTTCATGAGGCTTATTTCGTGCTTAAAAAAACGAGTAGCATACTATCACCCAAATGATCCACGGATCGAATCCCCAGTTGATAAAAAACCTGCCAAAGTTACGGTCTCCAAAATTAATGGTACCAAACCCGTTCGAAAGGAAAAAAGCACTGATTTGTGCACAGCCTGGCAACCGCAAGTCATAGATCACTTATGCACTAAGAACTTCACTACGGTTCTGAATGGAAGCTGAGAACGAAAAGATCCAAAGTTTCCAAGACCACATAAGAAGAGAAAAGAACTAGTGATACAGATGCTCAAGTGGTCCAAATTTCTTCACCTTTTTAAAAATCGTTTTCAGGTATGATGAGTGTGGAAGAATTTGTTGCTATTGCTTCTACAAGCATATTCGTATCGGGAACGGTATTGAACATCATCTTCATTTATGTGATTATAAATGGAACAAGGAGCGCTGTCGGTCAAGCTTACAAACATATCTTGATTTCTTTTGCAATATGCAATATCATTTTCGCATCAATGGAATTTATTGCAAAACCAGTAAGTTTTTTTTTCGAGATCACTACAGAAGTTTAGAAAGGTACATGAAGCGTCTTAAACTGAGAAAATAGCTGACAAGCAGTGTACCTTGACCACCAAATAACACTTCCGACTAGTGTCTAAGAAGCTAGCATTAACAAAAGTTGGAATTCCTGTGGACTGAGATGGACAGTAGGACATGCTTTTTTCGCTGTTCATGTTGACAAGAATTTTTCTAGTCGTTTATCCACAGTTCCATGATTCAGGGTATCTTCATATACGGTACCTCTCTGATGACGTTCAGCCACGGATTCTTCCAGTCAGTGAAACCATGGGGTTTCCTGTCGCTCTGTTTTTTTATAACAATGTATGGCATCAATACGGCTCTGTTAACACTCCATTTCGTATACCGATACGTTGCCTTATGCAGGTTGGTACTACTTCGGAATAACAGCTTTCCAAAATAAGGGGTTATATACATGTAGGCGCGGATTATGATGAAAACAATTTAAAAAAAGTTTTCGTCTAAAAAAGCTATGGTCTCATCACTTATAGAGCTACTTCAGGCATAACCTATTGCATATCTTCGAAGAAAGTGTTTCTGTCGCTCTCGTTACCTTATCGGTACTTTCATGGGGTTTCGTTTATGGCTTTATAACGTTCTACTGCTTTGCCGCTACTGACGATTATTATGAATATGCTAATGCATCGGTCTACGCAAAGTTTGGAGTGGATGCTCACAGTCTGTCCTTCTTCTGCATTTTCACCCATGTATGTTTGGAAAGAATGTGAAAATGAAAAGAAATGGAACATCGATAACGAAATGGTTTCATCTTTTTCTTTTAGAAAGTGGTTAAAGGCGTTACGACTATCTACTGGTCATCAACTCTAGGTCTAAGCCTAATTTTTCTCATGATGATAATAACCTTTGCCCTCATGCTATTCTGTGGCATCAGAATGTATCAAACACTGAAGAAAACTTCCATGAGCCCAAAATCAAAAGCGCTGCAGACTCAGCTGCTAAAAGCTTTGGCAGTGCAGGTATGATTATTTGTATGACGTCGAGTAAATTTTGGATATGTTCTGGTCCATCCTAATATGTTCCTCCAGAAAAATAATCGTTTCAGGCTGTTGTACCATTTTTTACATCATATGTTTCCCGAGTTCTTATGTATACAAGTGTTATTTTGGGGATGCCGCCACTGTCGTAAGTGACTTCAGACACTTGAAATCTTGGGCCATTTATAAGAGCGTTCCCAGGGTTATTAGAATTTTAGTACAATATTTCCCCGCGGCTTTCTTTGGGTCTTATTGTTAGCTGGAAATGGGAAGTGATGTAGAGGGCTGTTGCATAACTTGGATGAGGTACCACAAGGCCCTAGGCCGGCTAAGACCCAAAGAAAAATCTATCATTTTTGGGACACAGCACTATACAGTAGCGCTCAGAAGTCTTTGGTGAAATGCTTCTTCAGTCGTACTTTTCAGTCGTAACTCCTTTCCCACTGGATCTAATCATGCGAAATTTCTATATGTGTAGCATGGGTGTACTGTGAATATTTACCACTATTAACTTGCAATCTGATCATGTTCCAGATATCCCAAAGGGCTTGAACTCAAAATCGACTGAAAATACAGATGATGGCCCTTCTAGAATCTCTTTCCTTTTTGTCATGTCNAAAGTGTACGAGCGGTAATGCCGAACACAATAGATGAGAAAAACGCACATAAGGTGCGAATAAGTGCAGGCGTCAATAACTTTAGTTCTGGCAAAATCTGCTACCGCAACAAACACCTTGCTCTATCTGTGGTTATTGCAGCTTTGCAGTCAAATAGTGTTGGGTAGGGCGAAATATGCTCTAGTTTACCATATCCAAATTTTGCGCGATTTGGTCTACTAAGAAAAAAATTATGAACAAAAAAGCGTCAGAGCATTTCACCGATGACATTTGAGCGCTACTGTATGTATTATATATGCAACTGTTCACTGAACTTCCTTTCTCAAGAGGAATCTCCTACAAAATTCCTCAAGCAATTTAGCTCGAGATGATGCATTTGCCTAATTTTGCCCCTGATACGCAATCTTTCAGAGTTTACTCTTTTACACCATTGGTTGTTTCTATTTACACGGTAATCGATCCGATCGCTATAATGTTCTTCATATGTGACTTCCGTCTGATCGCTACAATGTTGAAGAGATATTTACTTATCGTTTGCTTCCTTGGACCGAACCCTCAGACGAAAGTTACGGCTATACAGAGTGTACAATCTGCAGCAACGTCGGATTTTGGTGCGACGAGAACAACAAGGACGAACCCTTCACTATTCTGATTAATTTTTCCACGCTTTATCAATCCAGTCCAGTTAGAGTTGTATGATTCGTAATTGTAATGTGACCAGCACTTTAGGCAATCTTCTTTTGTGACCCACAGAATTTTTTTTTCTCATGACCATAATATCCGTTATCCGTTCTATCTCGGTTTTCCGATTCTTCTTTGTCGTGTGTACCGATTTTTCTACAGTGGAAAGTGAAAGAATCTCTGGCCTCCCATTGTTTTAGTGAGGAGCAATGAGCAAACGTTATTTATGACATCGAAATTCTCCGCTTATTCTTCTTCTGTTCTTGATATTGCTAACTCCTCTCATATTTATCAACTGGAACAAATCAATGTTCGCGAAATTCTATAATAAAATTGACCCATCTACAAGTTTCCTCTGAATGAAGGTGTAACCAAAGTAGCTAGTGCGTACCCGTAAACGCTTCTCACTGGATGAGCTAGACGCTTCTCTTCGGTGTACTCAGTGCCTTCCATTGATATGTAGTCATTTTAGTTATTAGTTAAATAGCTATTTCATGGAGCTTTCACAGCAGTTAAAACTGAGACTGCATCTTTTCCCCCTGCGTAGTTGCCAGTTTGGAAGGGTTCGTTCAAGTGAGCGTTGCAACTGTTTTGCAAAACCATATCATCATACCATAAAATCATCAGCATCTCGCCGTCTTCAAGGATCTGAAAGTAGCTCGTAGCTCTTGGTCTGCTCAAAACATACATGGGTAAAGATGCAGAAGAAGGACAGACTGTGAGCATCCGCTCCAAACTTCGCATAGACATATGAATTAGCATATTCATGATAATCGTCAGTAGCAGCAAAACAGTAG